GCAACACGTTTTGTTTATGCTAACAGCAACATGACCAACATGTCATGCTAACCCCGAAATCCCACATACTCCGTCAGCGCTCCGCCGCGCTGTGCTCCAGAGATTGTAGAGGGCATGCGCGAGATAATTAAATTCAAAGCAGCAAAACATGTGGAAATGATCCAGGGTTTTCGCGGATCATTAAAAATAATTACAATTCATAAATTTTTTGGGATTTTTTTCATAAATTTTTATGGGATTTCAGTGTAACAGTCAACATATATCGAACCAAAAACCGTGACCACGAAACTGTGAACCGAACCGTGGATTTTGTTCCACCCTTAATTTCTATATTTTTCAAATGAAATTGCTTATTTTCTAATATTTTATTTACTCAGATTTTTATTTACTCAAGATTGAATTATTTAACTGTGCCTTTTAGAGGTACATTTAAGATTAATAATAGATAAATGACATCTGCATATTTCAAATTACATTCACATTTATAGTGATTTTGTGTGTGTGTGTGTGTGTGTGTGTACCTGTCTAGCCCTCATAGTGAGGACCATTTTTCAGGTTTAACCATTAAATTGAGGACCCGTTGTTTCAAAGTGAGAACATTTTGGCAGTCCTCACATGCTATTTTGCTAATGGTTAGGTTTAGGGCTAAGGTGTCAATCAGTTAGGGTTAGAGTGAGGTACGCATTGGTAGCGGACAAACTGTAATTTAAAAACAAAAACAAAAAGTATACCCACATTTGTCACAATATTTACACAACAGTTTGTTGCTACTTGACCTTCGGCAGGAATATAGATCATTTGCGCCTTGAGTTTCGATGTGTGCTCAGATTGACTGACTGCTGGTTAATGGCAGTTTCTCCAATTGGTAATGTCAGTTTTAAATTCTTCCATACTTATAAATATGCTGCATAATTTATCATCGCTGGGAAAATGGAACACATCAACATCCACCGCCTTCATGACCTGTTGTGTTTACATGGGGGATTTAAACCCCCCGTTTTCCCTTAATACTCCAAACCTCGCCTGTATCTGCCTTCCTGTTGCTTTTACAAGCCTCTTGTATTGAAGAAAACTTGGTTGCCGGATCCTTTATTGAATATTTACGCTTTTTCTCCCCCCCCCTCCCTCAAAATATGTCTGCAGATAATTGCTTGGAAAGAATCACCCAGGAAGGTCAGCCAAGACTCCCGCTGTAGGTGCCAAAGTGAGATCTCCAGGACTACAATTACTTCGGCTGCAGAGCAAAGTGAATGACAGGTAGGAAATAATTCATATGAATCACCTGCTGTATTATGAATAGCCACCTGCCGAGAGGACGTATCGCGGTCAGTTATCCTCAGAATTGCTTCTCGATTGCCCTTTTTTGTCATTTGTTAGTAATTGCCTTATTCTCTTGATAATATGACGAAATTAACCTCGGAACATTCCCTCCTTATGACATTTATGAGACAAGGTTGAAGTTGACACGGTTGCAGTCACCGAATTATATTTAGATCATTTGACTGTGATGCTGTTTGGCTTCTTCTTTTGATGCCCGCGCTTAAGATTGGTTCTCAGTGCTGTCACTCATAAGTCGCACCCTCCATTTTAACAAAACATACAACATTCAAGCCAAACGAAGGACATCCTTTGAAGAAACTCAGGATCACTCGCATCCATTTTCTATTTGGGCTACATCTGACCTTGTAGTGAACAGACATAAAAGGCTGTCAGTCAAACCATCACGCCGTCTTTGTTTCCTTGTGATCGTCATTCTCCAGAGGAGTCGAGCAGTAACAGACTTAAATCTAGCGATTCTGTGCTCCTGGCAAAATGCTTGTCTGTCCTTCTTTCTACCAAACTCAGCAACTGCCTCGGGGAAAGGTGGAAAGAAGGTGAAAACAAAAAAAAAAAAGGAAAAAGTTGGGGATTGGTGTTTGAGCTGTTGGAGAATGTAATCAAGGCCAGCAGATTGTTGAATAGTTCAGTTTGCTTTTTCTCTCCTGGATCAGTTCGATGTAACATGCTGACCTTCAAAAGATTTTTCTGTCCAACTTGTAACAAAGAGTGTTTGCAGTTAAAGTCAAATGGAGAGTAAATATGTGACTTTCTGAGAATCCGGGAACTGGATTTATGCTGCAGCAATACGGTCGAAACAGGCGGCAAACATGTTGATTCCACCGTCACATCAGGGTTCCTACAGCATGAGGCAAGTTAAATTCAAGACTTTTTAATGCCACTTGAAATAGAAATTTAAGACCAAATTCAAGAAAAACCTGCTTGCGACAACTTAACCCAAAGGTTTATTTTGACATAAACCACTGCACTAATGTTTCAAATGTTGAAAAGCTTCCCATTCAGGAAGAAAGCTAAAAACACACAAATGACAGATATATTATAACAATTATTTAACTGAATTCACAAACTTTTTTTTAGCAGGGAACAAAACAAATCAGTTTTAAAGCCCCAACATAACCAGTGCTAAGTCTTTTTTGCAGCTATTTTTCTTTGTATGGTTTTCTTAGTATGTTTGATTTGGTGATAAGTGGAGGCGTTGCAGAGACAAGGGTGGAACTAAACTGAGAAATACCGGCTGTTTCTCTGTAACTCGATTTTGACGCTTTGTGTTTCGTGCTTCACATGCGACTCCACTGCCTTAATTCCCATCGTTCTGAGCTTGAATGACTTCTTGCACTAAATCCACTGAGCCTCATGTATGTTCCCTGGTTTTAGCCATGGAGAAAACTCTTGGCTGGAGACAATTTTGGTTAAATTAACACTTGCTCATTTTTTCCAGACAAAAAGTTAATGGTGCATCTCCCAAATGTTCCGGCCGCAACAACGCTTTTATTGGTTCCGCTATCGGGACGGAACCAATAATGGCGAGCCATTATTTATTTTATTTTTTTATTTAAAAAAAATGTTTTCAATTTTAATGTTTTATTTAGATTACAAAAATAAATCGTGATAAAAATATTCCTATTCATGATGTTTTAAAAAAAAACTACGAAAGACTAATTTAAGACATTTTAATACCAATTAAGGCCTTAGTTTTATTTTGAAGAATTCAATGCCTTTTAAGACTTTTCCTGGAAACTTTAGGACAAGGTACTGGAAAAAGGACTTCAAGGCTGAAAGACTAGATCTGCACATCTGCAGAAGTTTGAAAGATTGTGATGGTCCACATGTGGCTTTTGAATCCAGAAAGACTTTATGTTGAGAGACAGTTTTTATTTATAACTGAGGACACTTTGAATGTCCTCAAACCAATTCACCATACAGTAACAAGGAGGTAAAAAAATATTGTTTGGTTAAGTAATTTTATCAATCAATAACCAATCAGATAAAAGAATTTTAACATTGCTTGTTCCTAATGGAGTTACAACAAATTCCACTATTTCCATTTTTATCTTTTTTAAAATCCATTTTTTTCATTATTCTTTAATGCACATTTTTCTCTCTGACTGTATTTATTAATCGGAAAAGAATGTAGTTATAAATACACTGCAAAATATTTAATAAATACTGTATCCATAAAAGTTTTAATGACCGTTATTTTACGCTTTTATTGGCAATATTTTCCCATCCTTTTTTCAAAAAATAAACATACTGTACTTATGTGTGACATATACAACCTCTAACATAAAAATATCTCCTAAAGAAACAAAAACTACAAACTGAAAGATGGAAGTAAAAATGAACTTAGATCCCATTCAACAGGCAAGTGTGAACAAACTTTTTTTTTTCTCCCCACCTTTTTTTTTATTGTCATACTGTCACAAGTACAAAGCAACAAAATGAACTCTCTGCATTTAACCCATCCCAAACTTAAGGAGGTACAGTATACAGAAGAATACTTCTTTTAAAGTACAAAACCAGTGTAAAAAATAAATTGTCTCAGTTATCCTGATGTAGTTGAACGGTGAGGAGTTTGCATCTGTGTCTGGCTCCCGCTGGCTAGCTTTTTCTCCCGGGTCTGATGTAACTCCGTCACATGTATTCCTATGCGTTCAGTCGATTGTGCACAGAATAAACCTGCAGAAAAGTTGCACTCCAGATCCATAAATTCCTTGGGTATTTTACTGCCAAGTTCCCTTTTTACATTATTTAGAGGACTCTAGGGTTTCTGTATACCTCTTCTCTATTGCTGACCTACTTTTTCTTGTTTCTGTAAAAAAGAGCCTGCCATGTAATCTGGACCGGCAGATACAGGAGTCTGCGGTGGACAAAGGAATGGAGATTTGCACCAATCAAGTTAGGTTGCGAGGGCCTCCAATAGTTCAGCCAATTCGAAATACAGGCAGACCTGTGCCAGACCGCATACTTTTAATTATTTCACAAAATACCCAATCATTATGTAAAGTACAGTAGCAGACATTCAAAATGGTCCTTCCCAGTCAAACGCCAGCCGAATGGCAGCCCACTTCCCTGCAACTCCCAGCAAAATCCCCTCCAACTTCCAGCTACTTCCAGGCATGCATATTTTTTACTCTGGCTCCACCCTTTCACTGAATTACAGGATCTGACCAGGAGATGGCGCTTCGCTTTAGATCTTAATGTCCAAAAATCATGACAGAATATTTTAGTACAAATATCAATGTTTAAAAAGGAATTATAGGGGACCAGCCAATGACCCGTTAAGTAAAGTGGGGAAATTTTGAATGGCTGCTACTGTACAATTCTATATTAGACTGTACACTCTATTATAGTTCTGTTAGCTATTAAAAAAGTTTTTTTTTTTTATCTAGCATTATCTCAATCATATTCCGTTGAGTTTACGTTTTTTTCACACAATCAAAGACAAGTAGAACAGCCTAAATATCATTTTCTACCAACCTAACAGCCAACTGTATAAAAAAAACTATGTATTTTGTTTCCTTAAATTCCTAATTACCACTTAACATTAGCAGAGCGCATGATGTGATGTTTGAGATCTGTTGTCTATTTTCTTCTAGCTTGAGCTAGCATGCCAGCTTCAACTTTTACCAGCGTATGTCGCCATTCCTTTTTCAAATGTCAGAAATCTCTTTTCACTCTGCTGGTGAAGAAAATGCCTCACAAACCATAAAGTCTAACTCAAATGAGAGACTTCCATTAGATTTAGCATTCAATACTAGATTTAGCTTCATTTGCTAAATTTAGCGATTCTGGCTAGGTTATCCGCATCACAGAAATCATAGGACCCTACATATCCTAACATTTTAACATATTAACATTCACAGAGTTTAGCCTTTATTCAGTCTAATATATGCATGCATAAGGTACAATAATCAGTGCTTTAATGCACATTTTTCCCACAAGTCATTATAGCTAATTGTCTCATTAGCTAATTTGACTTCCTCAGCAAACTGATGTAACATTAGCTTCTAGATGAACACAACAGGAAGCAGCTGCTTTTTAAAGTTTTTAATCCAACCATGTTCCTAGTTTGGTACATTATAACGAGTTTCTACCTTCACGTTTGTGTTTTCAATTCTAAATTATATTCTAAAGGCACGAAGCCTTAATTTTAACCTCTGTGATTACTTCAGCTAATTTTTTGTACAGTAGCAAACGCCAGCCGAATGGCAGCCAACTTCCCTGCAACTCCAAGTGAAATCCCCTCTAACTTCCAGCCACTTGCACATTTTTTTACTCTGACTCCACCCTTTCACTGAATTACAGGGTCTGACCAGGAGATGACACTTCTCTTTAGATCTTAATGTCCACAAATCATGACAGAATATTTTGGTGCAAAGATTGATGTTTGAAACAGCTGTAGGGGACCAGGAAATTTTGAATGGCCACTACTGCACATTTCATAAAGTTTAGTTTGAATTAATACTTCTAAAGAAGCAAATTGCTTTTGTTTCTATGTAATGGATTCAGCTGTTAACATCTGTCTAAACAGGGTTTGTGATTTGTTTGCAAAGAAACTGCTATGTTACCTGATCATGTTCTGCAGAATACATGTGAACTTTGACTGAGCTAAACTTTACTGCAGGAATTAAACTTAAAAAAAAAAAAACTTTAATATTAATGAAGATCTGAAGGAGTGATGAAGACGTAGTGAAGGAAGCAGGTGTAAAAGGATGGACTAATACCTTCAGCTGAACTGAATCCCTGAGCATCACATCAAACGCCGTCTCACCGCTCGGTTTCACATCAACCGATGATGGCTACTGCAGTGTTTTCCTTTCCGTTGATGCGGAAATGTCACGTCACTTCAAAGTTAACGTCCTTTCTTTTTATCCTTTAAGTATCGACTGCTTAGTGTGGAACGGAAAGAGCTTTGTCAT